TGATTGTGCTGAACTGTGAGCTGCTTTTTTCATTTCTTTCAGAATTGCTATTTCTAGCATCTATCCTAATATTTCCGGTGACTTGCATCCCTTGAGCGCCTACGCGGTGTATTCCTGTCAAGATGTAGTCATATGACGACGAGCTGTCATGTTCAGGAAAGGAAGGTGGGTATGTGGCAGAGTCTGAAAACCATGGATGCTGTCGGTGAAATACTTCGATAGCTAGCAATCTATTGCAATTACACTGTTGCAATGACGCTATTTGACCGAGTAAAAGCCCTGAAACAGCTAGGCTAGGCTATATGCCTAACATTTGATCCGTCACTTGGGGTATATGGCCTCGGAAGTTGCAACAGAAAAAAACTGCTTTCTGCAGAAGTTGCCCGCAAGGTGAATTCCAAAAGTCTATTTGTATATTTTGGAACTCCGGTGTGATTTGTGAGCTAGGCTGTTTTTCCGGGCACCAGGGCACCCAACTTTGTCCGGATACACACCCGGGTGCCCAGCCACGCATGACCCCTGTGCAGGGTTTCGGGCAGCCCAAGGGCATAAAAAAAACAATAAAAAAATCATAAAATTTCTGGAAAAAAATATGTTGTGTAGAATTGCAACGCAAACGATTTTGGCTGAGGTTCACATCAGAATTCCTCATGGAATCCGAATTCCTTACGGAATCGGAGATGAAAAGAGCATAACAGAACTACACTAAGGCACCCCCCTTTAAACCCCTTTAGCCCCTGATTACACTGTAAGTGATAATCCACCTTAACCCCGGTTGTGGTTAAGCATCAACGACTGCCCGACAGTTAATACCCTGAGGTGGGCAGCAACCACCCCCTCAAGGTACCTGTGGCGCAAATCAAAGCAGACGATCACTCACCCACACCGGATGGAAAACTCTGCAGACTGTCGGTTCACACCCCATCACAAGCCAGCAAAACACCCACGAAACAAAGAAAGGTCTGTCACAGGCAAAAAATTCACTCCAGACCTGCCGCTGGCACTAGAGGCACAGCATGGCCGTGTAGTGACTGGCCCGACCACTGCCGCTCAATCTGACCGGAGAAAACCGTAGCAGGGTGCTAGCGAAGTCGTGGTATATCTCGTCAAACAGATCTGCCCGGTAAACCATGGGTGTAGAGGGAGAAGAGGACAACAAACAAGGGGCTGTGACAAACCCGCACGCCTGGCAACCCTCATTGTCACGCCTGGGTGCCCGGCCGGGTCAGCCCAGCCAGGCGTGACAATCTTCCTAGTTCGTGAGCACATGACAGAGACGCCACTACCGGTAGTTACTTTGAAGCCCCTCACCAGGGTTGGAAAGTATCGTTATCTAAAACAAAAATGTTCCAAGTAGTAGCAGTGGTCGGCAGCACTGTAAGGGCCAGGCACCACTGGTGGTTTGTTTGTGTTGTCCGCGGGAATCTTGCGAGTTTTGTGACCGGGTTCATGCTTTATAAGCAGGAACTTAGCAGCAGTGGGGCCTGGTCATAATAATCTGGGCCTGGTCCTAAGAATCTTCAGTGGTCAAAAGTGAGCAGCTGAGACAAGTGAATGCAAAGTACACAATGTGCCGCAGGGCTTACTTCTATCCTTCGGGCAACATGCGGTGCATGACTCGGTAAGTGGGTGTGTGTGTTCCTCGTGATAGGAGTTGGCGATGATGCCCAAGTATTGTGATGAATTTGATGCATTTCTGCCATGTGCTAGATGCGGTATCCTCAGGGGAAGAGACAGCAAAATGCTTTTTGCAAATTAGCATGGATTTTGACAATGTTGATAACATGCTGTGTTCTTCCTACAGGTCTTCTGCAGATGGAACCTGCAGGATATGGGATGCGCGAGATTCATCTGTTAATCCACAAGAGTACAGACCGTCACCCAGGGGTACAGGTAAATGTCTTTATCCAGCTGATCTACTTGACTTACTGTGTTGAGGATCACTTTAAAGTTTAAACCACCAGTACCTCGCCCAGCTATATTTTTCCCGACGCGGCGTGTTGACGGCCGCGTTGAGCGGAGGTCGTTGCATTGGACGGCCGTTCGCAGCAAAAATGTGCGTAGAACTGAAAAAAAAAGAGAAAAGATGAACTTTGAAGACTTCCTGAATGTCGAGGAGGGTGTCCAGCAGGCCGTGCTCATTTAGGTTCTGAGAAGAATGAATGGCGCCTGTATAGTGGAGAGAATCTGAGAGATGCGTAATGTTCTTGGGTTCTTCGTTTTTTTTGGTCTTCTTTTGTTTTCGTCCCCTGCCAGTGCGGCAGGGCGGATCCCGTGATATGCTGCAACCAAGTCGTTGAGGGCAACTACGGACTGGCACATTGATGAATGTATCCAGCCGATATTAGGGCGAAAGCGTTTTCTTTTTTCCTTTTTCTTCCACTGCAAGGAGACGTTTCTTTTCTCTTTTGTCTTCTTTTGCTTTTTGGATTCTGACAATCAGGGCACAGGGCTGATACGCCCACACAGAGGGTACGCTCACGCAAAAATGTTGGAGGATATATCCAGTTGCATACACGTCCCTAGCGTAGTTGCTGTTTTCTCTTTTTCTTCTTTTTTTTTTTCGCTACTGGTTCTTCCACTATCGTGCTGTCCAGCTACTGGTACCCCCAGGCTCGGCAGGCTCGGCAGGCTCGGCAGGCTCGGCAGGCTCGGCATACCGGTCGCGTGAGGGTAGGAAAAAGAGTAGCTCTACATGCTGGTGGTTTAACTGTTCAACACATATCATGAACGAATAGAAATGTGAAGCCTATGTTATTACGTGGAAGCTCATTGTTGTTGGCAGATCTGTGACATATTAAAAACGGATTTGTGAGGCTGAAGTCCCTGTTATTCCATATGGTGCTTCATTATCCAAGCCACTTCTTTTCTTCTGTTCTTTTTAGTTGCCTTGCCGCGTACACCACCACTGGCTCCGAGCCTCGTTTTTCCTTTGTCTGATTTTGCCTGTGTTAAATTCCGGACCATCACAGGGGAGAGCCTACCAGGTGCTGTCAGGCTTTTTGGTAGGCCCAACCTCTTTCCCTGGCACCACATCAAGCGGAGGGAAGGGAAGGGTCAAGGAGTGTGAAAAGATGCTTTACACATGTGGCAGGAGGGAGGGGCTGTCCAAAGCAGCCGGATGACACGTACTAGCACGGAGAGAACAGGGAACGTTGATAGGGCTTGCAAAGGAGGGGATGAGAAATCGGGGGGCGGGGGGGGGGAAGGGGAATGCTAGGATGATGGGGAGAGGGAGGCATAGTGCCAAGGGGTACTACACAATGTTTTACAAGCACCGTGGAAGGAGGGAAGATGCCTTGCACACATGAACGGAAAGAGCAGGACTATGAATGATACTTGACCCTCATAAGTGTTAAGCAGAGAGAGAGAGAGAGAGAGAGAGAGAGAGAGAGAGAGAGAGAGAGAGAGAGAGAGAGAGAGAGAGAGAGAGAGAGAGAGAGAGAGANGAGAGAGAGAGAGAGAGAGAGAGAGAGAGAGAGAGAGAGAGAGAGAGAGAATTTTGATGCTTTTGTCATGAACACAATTTAATTCATTGCCATGACATGCCAAATCTCGTTGTACCCTTCACACTCCCTCTTCCTTCCCCCATCTATGTAAAAAGCATTCTCAGGCCCTCTGACCACTCTCCCTAAGCCCCCGATGTGGATGAAGTGTCGTGCGAAACCCCCTCAAGCTCCTCTCCCTCTTCCCATGTGTGTAGATTGTCGTTCAAATGCCATCAAGACTCAGTTTTATCCCCCTTACGTGCAAAAAGCACCTTGGAAACCCCTTCCACGCCTGCAATCCTTCCTTCCCTGTGCGTATGCAGGTTGCAGATTTGTTCGACACTCCCTCTGGCATTCATATAAAGTATGACCCCATTGACATTTCTCCTCGTTGCTCCATTATGAAAAAGGCATAGTGCCACTCCCTTTTTTGGTATGCTCCCTCACTTTCTCTGTGCACATGAAGCCTAATGTACCCATGTACGTAATCATAACTTCGGCTGCTTGGCGCATGCCCTTCGTCCATCTAAACAAAGCATATTGTGACCCCCCTCAACATCTCCCCTCCCTTTTCAATTCGCTGACCGCCTTGGAGTCCTTGTGTGTGCCGGTCACCAAATATCCATCCCAAGCGCATGTCTGCCAACAGCCTTTCTTTCATTGTGCATAAAGCTGCAGCAGGGAATGTTCTTTGTCTGAAAGACGTGTATATGCCAAGTGCTGGCTTCGTCTTTTTCTGATCTAAGGGTTAGAAACTGTATCATTTCCCCGCCCTTTGGACACGAAGAGGAAGCGGTGTGCACACTCACAACTCTATGACCACTCCTGCCCGCTTGTCAGTCGCCGGATCTTATGCATTACAATGGTTGACTGCTTTAAAACAATTGTTAATAGTGAGGAAAAGAGTCGAGAAAATGGCACAAGTTAAGGGGAAAAAATAAAATAAAATGGCATGTCAGCCACCCCCCCCCCCCCCCCCCCCCCCCCCCCCCCCCCCCGCATGCCATTTTTTATTTCTTTTTCCATAGGGGAAGCAGTGGTCCTGGTCCCAGTGCACCACCTAAGGAGGCAAGGTACCAGACCTAGCAGCCCATGCCTATGGGATCATATGGAAACATGCACTGGTCTTTGGGGTCATCATGCAGCATTCTTTCTTCTAAGTACTCTTTGGTTGAATATGTGTGCTTGTCGTGCCCGGTCGATTGTGCAGTGGCAGTGAAGAATGTTGCTTCGGCAGCAGGAGTGGCAGGGCCATCAAATGCGCCTCCTGCCGGAGATGCCGTAAGACAAGACGCAAATGCTCGCCCTGCCGAGATCTTGTGCTGCGCTTTCAATGCCGATGGGACTATATTTGTGACTGGGAGCACTGATAGATTGGCGCGTGTGAGTATACCTGAGATAATGGCTGGCTTCCTACTCTGTTTCTGATTATTTTTTGCTCCCTTCTTTCAATTGCTGTCTCGATTAGTTGACAGAGACCCCAACTTTCTTTTTGCTGTTTGGCTGATCATCATCCCAACCAATATAGAAACCACGATAGTGAGGCAAGACATTGTGTTTGGCCCAATTAGCAAAGTTTGAGATTGGACCGCCAATGCTGTGACTGAGATCGGAAGAAAAAAGTTATGTGATGGAGTTTACTGCGTCTCGCTTATTAGAGGAGGATGTTTGGAGGTACAACAAACTCCTGTGTGGTTTGAAGTTCTAGTGCCACTCTCTGCGTCATGAGACGCGGTGTTGTGAAAGACACCTACCACAAGGTGCGGTAGGTCCCAAAGCCGATGTTAACTTGCTGGGGGGGGATGGAGGGAGACGAGCATGCGTGCGCTTGTGTGTGTGTGTGTGTGTGTGTGTGTGCGTGTGTGTGTGTGTGTGTGTGTGTGTGTGTGTGTGTGTGTGTGTGAG